CCTCTAATCAAAAGTTCGCAAATACGACTATTGAGGATTCATACTTTAATCAGACACGCACGATTATAATCTTAAATTCTACCGTAGAATTTAACAATGAGTTTTCGGTTTTAGTTTCTTAGCGATAGCTTTTCTCTGTGGAGAATGCATTKACTACTTACTACCCGAGGGTCAGTCTAGAAATAAGAGTGCAATTAKCGCCCCATTAAAACTCCTTTTCTTCTTCTTTGGTATCAAAACCAAAGCTGAAGTTGCTTCTCAGAGTACTTTTTAATAAAATCTGTTATTTTTTTCGGCATCCTTTTCGCTTTCCTCTTAATTATATAATTTTCTTCAAGCAATGCGGAGGTTTTTCAGGGATGTCTTTTTTTGTCTTGTTTTTTTTTTCTTATTGATGTTTCTAGCTACAGCTAGTGAATGGAGATGATGTAATATCCATATATTCTCCGTTATAATTAATCGTGAGTGTTTTACCCACGCAATTAAGCTTTTCACGTTCAAGAAGACATTTCTCGCATTTTGTATCTTAAATTTTCTTTTATTTATTTCAATTTAGARGCTTGTACTTCTGCTTTAATTGAAATAGWTAGAATTTGTWGAGCTTCCTCTTTTCCCATTCAAGCATTTTGTTCCTTGAATTTCGTGTTTCTTTACGGCGATACCATGCCAACAGGCTCAGGTTATCACTATGCTTGTCTGCATCGCAAAAACATTTAAATGACAAACGTTATCCGCCGTCCGTCACTATAGTTCCTATTTTACATCTGGTTCTATAATATAATGATTTATATCTACAAGTAGAATAATGTAGGACAAAGCATCAACTTGCAGGTTTATATCTTCGTTTTATTATAACGTTTMGGCAGATATTATGAATATCTGTATTAAATGTAATTTATATATGTTCTCTATCTTGGAACATCATACATTTTTTGTGAAACAATTTTCAAGAGACATATAARTCGATTTTTTGGTTGTGCCGAATTGAATACATCTAAGTTTAGAAAGATTGTTGSAATTCATTTGTCAGGTCATAAAAAGTTCCTTCCGTTTGTTTGCCATTGTCTCGTCAACGTCATTTAAAACTAGYCTAGTGSTTCTTGTTTCACGGACTTTAAGGTATCAGGGGACCTTCGCGACTGATCTCAMTTAATTCTTCATAGMAAGTTAACTATTCAAGCTATGACTATAAAAGTATACGGAAAATGAGTTCGTCGATTGGTTTAGCTGGTTCAGAACTAATTTGGTTTATTGATTGATAGTACACTTTGCATGCTAGATGGTTAGTTTTAGTTTATAGTTGGTTGGTTTAATCGTGTCAAAATGATAAATTACGAACAACAACAACTTGATACATATGAGCGATGTTATTGTAAAAGCCGCACTTAAGCTGATAAGGTCCCTTTTGTTCTGGAATCTGTACTCTACAGAGCCTTGATCGCGGGCGTGTTCTTTAGGGCCTATTTGCTTTGACAACACTCATATATACAATATTGCAATGATAAATTATAGAACAAATAGGTATGTA